GTGCACAAAATGCAGTGTTTGATCATCTTACATATTCGATCATTGAGAATTATTGACTCATTGGAAAAGACAAAACAGAAAAATGGTCATTCTTGCTATTCTACTATCTTTTGCATATAAACAAACACTCCCTCATCCGCCAACACACAAAAAATGCATGTTCTAACTACAGGAAGCTTACAACCACATCACCTGTAAATAGATGCCCCTGAAGAACATAACTAAAAGCTCAAACAAAAATTTGGCAAGTTCCTGATTCTAGATATGAATTTTCGTTCTGTCAAATAAATGTGACCAAACATGCAAATCACGACAACAGAAAGAAAGAAACCATGATATAATACAAAACTCAGCAAATGTGTGAATATAAAACAAAAAGTCAATGCCATTCTAGATTCCATAAAGAAAGGGGGAGTACATATAAAAATGTGCTAGCTAAAGAGACAACAAACAAAGTAGCAGATTTTTATCAGCAAGTCACGTAGTAAAAACTAGAAGGTAGGAATTAGCAAACCTGGTCCTAGACTGCGTGACAAAAAGCGATCCCCTAGGTGAGTCTATTAAGATTTCCATGTTCTCCCAGAAGGCTCCCTGAGTAAAAACCTCATTCTTTAAAGAGTTAGTGTCTGTTTGGTTGAGCTTTTCATGGGATTGATCACTTGATGTCTCAGTGTCATTGCTGCTTCTCCAAAATTTACACCAGCTAGCGATCCAGTTAAATAAACCTGGCCTCTTACCAGAGTGGTTTTCACTTGCTTCATCAGCTGCTTTAGTGTCAACAGTAGAGTCAATACTTGGTAAAGAAATGGTTACTGGACATGGAACTTCACATGACTTTTCCTCACACTCTTCCTTCATTCCTTCCATCTCAGAGCTAACCCTAGTGCATTTTTTCAGAGTATGGTTATTTTGTTTCTCAGAGCTATCTTCAGAATCACCATGTTTTTCTGGAAGGTTATGATCTTTTCAGCAGGATTGCCATCGCTACCACCAAACCTTCTTCGCCAAACTTTACTTATGAAGCTTGCATCAGATGCAGAATCTTGTTCCAGCATGCGATCCTGAAGACTCTCGGGTACCTGATCATTAGATGCTTCAGCAATCTTCTGATCAACTGGAAGGGGCTGTTGGACTTCCACTTGAGGTGTCTCTGCATTTACTTTTACACAACTACCATTTTCTGGAGGGGTTTCTTGTATCTTTCTAAGAGTAACTCCAGCATTAACCTCGGGGGAATGATGCAAACTGGACGTTTCATTTAAAGCACCATCTACTGTCCTGTTCCTGTCATCACCACTTGACCTACAAGAAACAGTGAGCTCATCTCCAGTTCTACAGACAGGTCCAGCAGATAAACAAGGACTTGTCTTACTTAGTTCACCAGCTTTTGAGGTAATTCCATGTATAATAAAAACACCATCACGTTCTGACTGAAGCCTTAAAATGTGTGGCATTGATAAAAGAAAGCGGGAGAACCTTTTATAACCATAAAAGTCTTTATCAAGGTCAACTTTGCTTTTTCTCAGCTCAGAACGAAGGTCTGTAATGCAAATTCCCTTTGGGTAGGAGTTCAGAATCTGCCGTATCTGCTTTATGACTACCTTTGGAACTGGCCGAGGTATAGAATCTGAACAACTCTCAGACAATTCTTCAGTCCGTTTGCATGCTGGTTGTTCAACTAAAAATGGATCGTCAAGAGGTACCTTGTAATGGCCATACCAAGAACCATAAGGACCATCAGGAGGTTGATTATAGTGCTTTCCAGTCAGATTCTCTCCTTTGAGCAGCACATTCCAATTCCACATGATACTGGCAGCACTACAAAGACACTTGGAGCTGATTCTGACGTAGCAAGCAGAACATTGTAGTTATTCATTCGTAATCTATGCAATACGGTAGCAAAGCCCCTGTCACCAGAGATTAAAAAAAGATGGGCTGGAGGAGGATTTTGTGAAACCCAACACAAAAGATCAACCAGAAGCGATCTATCAGCACTGTTTTTTCCACCTGCATTCGTGGAACATTTTCATGATAAAATAACATCAACTTTGACAGTACAAATTTAGAACGAAAGGAAAAAAGAACAGATAAGAACTGAATCCGTATCCTCTCACAAAGCCATTGCGTAATGGTGACAGTGACACTCCATGGTATTCCCTCACTTCCAGCTAGGGCTTCCAGCAGAAAAAAAACAGTGTTTTTCTATGACAAACTGAATTAGCTAAATCATTGATTTTAAACTTAGACAGGTGAAGTAAGCTTGCTGGAAAACCCCACACCCAAGGTACTAGGGTTCTAGTATCACCCAAGGCAGAAAAACATAACTTGCAAGAGCAATCAAGTCTAGGACTAATTTAGCAAAATCATTACACATACATTCAGGTATTAATAAAATTTTCAGCATAAAACCAGAACTTAATGGACGTTCCAGATCACAGTATCACAAACTAAACAGAATGGAAGTATCATTCTAACATGTGTGATCAGGGAGAGAGTTGTTAAATGATTAAAGTAACTGGTAAAATTTTTAAATATAACACAGTTTAATTTGCACTAAACATTGATAAGGCAAGAATGATATCTTAAAAGAGCATAGACGAAAAATAGACAGTCAATACTGCGCTAAATTACTGCAGGAAAAGCCCAATATAGCACTAAATTTCTCAGTTCAAACAATCACTAAATTCTCAATAAATATATATATAGTTTGGCAACTTAAGGGAAAAATACCATTGGGAACATGGGAAAGATTAACCCCGGTAGCCGAAAGCGCCTCCTGGTTAGTTCTAGAGAGTTGGGAAATATCTCCGAAAGCCGTAATCTGAACAGGACCCTTAATTCCATTGGTCCTGACGGCGGAAGTGATCATATGAGCAATCTTAAAGGCATTGAAACCCGGAGGGGGAGAACAGTTCTCGAAATCCCACCAAACCGAAACCTTAATGTGCCGTGAAGCTTCCTCATGGCGCCACGACGAAGAATGGGGATGCAAAGGCTGGGTTTGGGAAGTGGAGAAATGAGAAATGAAGATCGAGAGTGAATATAAAGGTGGAGAAGATGAAGAGGAAATGAGGGTCCTGAGATGGCAGGGTTTAAGGTTCATTGCTAACGGCAAAATGGGGTTTTAGGAGGGGAGATCCAGAGGACTTAAAACCCTTCGATTTTCATTTCTAAAACAAGAAATAAAAAATCATTGGCGGTGTGTTTGGGCTTCGTATTGGTAAACTCAAAGTCCGAAGCTGTTTGCCGGTAGGGATGGCAAACGGGAGGGTCGGGTGTAGATACCTCCATCCCTATATTCATCTAATATTTTTTAATCCATCACCCGTTCACCACTCATGTTGGATAAAAATTTTCAAATTCACACCCGCCCACGTCGGTATATTCTCAAATCCATCCCCACTACCCACTAGCGACGTATCCGTCTAGATCCGTCTGACAACAAACTTAAGTTATACATAAGTAGCAAAAATAAAAAAAAACATGTCCATTAAGAAACATAATAAAATAATCCAAGGATTATCTAAGTTAAGTGTTAATATAGATCTTAAAATACATAAAACACCATAATAAATGACATAATTAAAGTCTAGAAACATAAATGACAAACACATAATGTTTTTGTTCTTTTGCACAACATTTTAAAATTTCAGGCAATATTTGTGACATATAATACTCCAGTATTACAATCATCATTTTTTATTTCCTCCAACTGAGAGCGCTCCAATTTAAATTCACTACTACCTACATATATATAATAGAAAGTAAAACTAATATAAGTTAGTAATTAAACTTTAATAAGATGATTAAGCACAATTTGACAACTAATATAAACTAAATAATAATATTACCTTTAATATCGGCCCAAAACCAATTTTGAGCATACATTAATGCTTCAATCGACTCCGGAAGTAGTCGACTACGATAAGGACCAATTACTCTTCCACCTATACTGAATGTAAATTTTGATGGGACAGTAGAAACAGGAATGCCCAAAATATTCTTTGCTATTTGTTGGAGAGTTGGATAAATTACATGTTATATCTTATACAATATTAGAATTTATAAATTAGTCTCTAAAATTACACCTAAATTCATAATGGTCTAAAATTTAATGGATATTTAGCTGGGCGGGCGGATGTGGGGCGGGCAGATACGGGGCAAGCGGATGCGGGGCGGATGCGGGGCGGGTAATGTCTCAAACCCATTACCCGCCCACCACCCGCAACGAATACCACTTTCTAAATCCAGACCCGTCCACTACCCGCTAAAATTATATCCATCCCCACCCCAATTGAAACAAATACGGTACAAAATCTACGAAACTGTACCGTTTACCCACCCTATTCGCTGGGTTTCGGCTTCACCCCGAATTAAACGCTCTGTTTAGGGTAAGCAAAACTTTAAAAAGTTGAACTTTTAGACCCAATTTGACGTTACAAAGTTTGATTTGATTGATGATTTTATAAATTTAATCTAAAAGGAATGAAATAGATTTTGAATTATAACGAATAAATTATAAGTTCGAGTAATATCCTTAATTTTATATTATATATATTAAAATTTTAATTATTAATTTATTTTTTAAATTTTAAGTTGAAAATATGCATTTTACTCTTTCGGAACAATGTAACCCACATAGATATAATTAATGACATTAAACGTTACTCAAGTATATGTAGTGTTTATATTTAAGATTTCAAAGAAAAATAAATATTTATTAAGTTCGTTTAATTTGTATAAATTAATACATTTCTTATATATCTTATTAAAATTAAAAATCTAAAAAATTAAGAGTAGATTGATTAAATATATAAAACAACAAATTATTGAGATCGTTTCATTATTAGGTAAATTCTTCCATCAAATATTAATTGTAAGTGATTAAATAAATAATATTAAATAATTTAATAATCTGAGAGATAAAATTAAAATATTAGTAATTAAAATAAATAAAAAAACAGTAAGTGATTATGATATAGTTTACCTTGTACTTTATTCTTCGCGTTTATATTCTAAACAGAGACTACACGGAGAAACATAGAGAAAAAATGGGAGTAACGAAGGAGCAAGTTGAATCTTCATTGACTTCAAAACTGAAGCCTCTTCATCTGGTACCCTCCCCTTTGTCTCTACTCTTCTTTTTCACGTTTTGTATATTCTGAATTAAAATTAGATCAACCTCGTTCTGGTTTCTTTCTGCGTTTCCTGTTTGCGTTTGATGTTAGGTTAAAACTATGTAATTCTATCGATGTTTCCAGAAAAATAATAACCCATGAACAAGATCCTGCTATTTCTTTTTCTATTTTTTTTGAAGAATTAATGATTAAATGTGTTTTATTTCTAGGACAAAACGCGTGATAGTACTCTTTATGCAAAACGCTTATGTTTTGTTTGCTAATATCAATTAAGTGAAAATAGGATGGGGAAAATGCTAGGGATTATGGGTAGTACTTCAATTTTTGGTAGAATGCTTGGGGGAAAGCATATTTTTGAATTGATGAGAGCCATGCTGATTGCCGACTTTAATGATTTTTTTCCTCAGGTTTTTATGTTACTCTTGAAAATGTCTGAGAATAAAGCTTTGTGGTGAAAATGGTTTTGGAAATGATGATTTTAAAGTTACTTGGACTCAATAGTACCCTATCAAATTGCCTTTGGTTTCACCTGAGAGTAGAATATCAAATGCTATTTTTCCTTTTTTCTTTTAATATCTAGAGGTTTGGCTATGACATTTGTAGGAGTCATTTTAAATATTCAACGCTTTGACAAGGAGTAATTGTGCCTTTCTAGCCTCCTGTTGACATGTCTCCTAACATGATTGCCTGAGGTTCAATGCTTAGTTTAAAAAAGCGCCGCTTAAGCGCGATTAAAGCGCTAAGCGACGCGAGCGAGGCCCCTGGCGCTTCAGCATAGCAAAGCACTACGAATTCATTAAGCGGTAGTAATCGGCGCTTAATCGCGAGTTTAGAAGATACGATTTTGGGCTTTAGCAGATACGATTTTTTGGGCTTATTTAGGGTTTAGCATGCTATTAAATTATCAGTTTTGGTTTTTTTTTCTTGTAGCTTCACACTAAGAAACGAAATAGATTGGCACAATCTAGATTGAATGACATGGTGTTTGTGAAATTCAATCATGCCTTGGAGCGCCGAGCTAAAAGTAAGGAGACCGATCCCATTCTTTTGCAAGATATTGATGAGAGCAATGAGTGGTTGATGGGAAGAATGGAAGAAGATGAAGATGATGATGAGGCGGTGTTTGTTGGTGAGGATTTGACATAGAGTGATGTTGCTAACGCTTCCGGTGCATATGAGCCTAGTTATCTAACTAGAGCATCAAAAGTAGTGAATGATGGAGCCGGACCATCGAGAAATGATAAAGGAAAATCTCCTGCTCATAATCCTATCTCTAGTAGACCATCTCGTAGATGCTTCGTTGATGAAGATGAGATGGAAGAAGATATTGGAGTGTCTAGTGATGAAGGAGATGGTGTTGTCCGAGTTGATGACGATGACGATTTAGAGGATTTTTAGTTATAAGGAATTGAGGGTTTAGAAAAATACTTTTGTTCATCTCACTTTAGACTACTTTTAGTGTAGACCATCTTTTGAGATTAGTATGCTCGTATAGTCGTATGGTTAATCGTATATAAGTATTTAAGTGTTTATAACTTATAAGTAAATTGAGAATTATATTTTGGTGTTTAAGTACTTATAAGTTTTGAATATATGTATTGACACTTTGATATTTAAGTATTTTAAAGATAATTTATAAATATATTTTGTATTTTTTTGTGAATTTCGGCCTTTCTGGCGCTTCTTGTGCATAAAGCGAGCGCTTTCGCTTAGCGCTTCGGCGTCTAGGACCCTAGGCGCTTTAGGGCGCTTTACGCTTTTTAAAACCAAGGTTCAATGAGAAATAATCTTTTATGATTGTTGCCTCATATGATTGGGAAGATGTAAGATCAAATATTTGGAATTCTCTCATTTACAATATTTGTGTTGGACCTGTTGGTATAAGAACATGGCGGTCATTTTCTGTCTATTTGAATGCGTTTGATAACAAACTGCTTTTTGAAATTTTTATATCTTTCCGACTTGGTTTCAGTTGATCATTATTGGGCCAACTTGGGAAGAAAGTTTACTGGACATTTTCCAAATAGGTTTATACACACTGTTTGTTTTTCTGGCAAAGATTAATTGCTTTTAATGGTGTTAGTTTTTACCCCCTCTATGTTGTTTGTACATTCTCTTCGAAGTGTCACCTGTCTTTTCTATTTTTCATTTTATTCTTTTTGCTGCCTAAGGGAAGTCTTCCGTAACATATATTGTGTATTTCTTGTTGGTTTAGAACATTGTTCCATGTGCCCAAATGGTTTTGAACTCACAAATTTATCCTCTCTTTCGATTCTTATGTAATGTTGACTTGGCCTTATGGTCATTGCCATTCTTTGACCCTATTAATGTATGAGATTACATGTTCGATCACACGTGACAACTTGTTTGCCTTGCAGGGTTCCTTTCTGACTCCGTTAGTCATGGTTTTTATTTGAGATTTCCTGATCAGTTTTCTTTATGTGTTGATGATTTCTAGTTACATTAAACGTGTCTGCATTTTACTTGCGAACAAAACCCTTTATACAAAGATTTTTTTTTCATGTTCGTTGTACGTTATACTCAAACAGGGGAATGCCTTCTTAAGATTTATTTCTTTTCGATTTTGATGCCTGCATGTCTGATGTAAACTCATCTTTGTATTTGTTTGTTTCAGGAAGTAACTGATACGTCCGGAGGGTAAGCTATATTCTGAGCATTTTCTTTTAACCTTTTGGCAACAATTCATCGTTTTTAAATATTATGCCGAGTTATCTGATCGTATCAGGTGCGGTGCAAGTTTTGTAATCGAGATTGTGTCGGAACAATTCGAGGGGAAGAGACTTCTGGAGAGGCATCGGATAGTAAATGCTGCACTGGAAGAGGAAATGAAGCAAATCCATGCTCTCTCGATAAATAAAGCTCTCACTCCCGAGCAGTGGAAACAGCAGCAAGAGGCGGAAAAATCGAAATCGGATGCTTAGGAAGATGGTCGAAGTTAGTCAGACATTGAAATAAAAGAGGTCTAAAGCATCATTTTGATTGTTACTTGACCTAGAATTGGCTACTTATGGCTTAGATTTCTGTGTTGAAAGAGTTGAGGTAGAAGAATATATATATATATATATATCTATTAAAAAATAATATGGATGAAATTGTGTCAAATGCGAAATTCAAGTACTGAGAATAATTTAGAAAAAAAAATCAAAAAATTATTAAACTTTGAAGTGGTCAAACAGACTTGATGAACATTTATGAATTAGTATTTAATTGATAACATCAACAACATATCTAAAATATAAAATGAAAATACAACAACACAAATTAAAGTGCAACTAAAGAATGGATAAACATACATTTTGGTGTCTGATTTTCAATTAAATGATCGGTGATGAATTTTTTCCGAAAAATTATGACCTGCGGCTAGAAATTGTATTTTAGGTTGTACTGGAAAATATTACAAAAAATGTAATTTTTAAATTGCGTACAATCTAAAATGTTATGCTTTTCTATAACATTTTTGGTCGTGCTAAATTTCTGTGATTTTTTCTTTAAATTTTAGGTTATACCGTAAAACTAACCCTCTCATCTCATCTACCTATAAATAACTATTCGACCATATAATATATTAATACATTTGCAATGCAATATTAGTTGCCATTATAATATCATAACTGAGCCGACGTAATTCTCATTCTAAGGCATGCATCGACAGGAGCCACGTTCCCCGCATGATGAATTCAAATAAAATGGTTTCACATCATGATTTCAAAACCAAGTATTAAATATAATTTTGCATCAAGTTTTAATTCTTCTCATACAATAGCTATTAACATTGAGATTGATTAAGAAATTTTGGGGAAAATAAAATAAAGAAGCAATCACAATCACAATCACAATCAATTTCCAGCTACAAACATCCCTATTAAGCAACATGGTTTAAAGGTGCATGGAAAAGATGGAAATAAAGCACCAATTGTTGTCTGCCCACCACCGGCTCCAGAGGGTCATCATCTTTATCAGTGTCACAACAGCGGGGCATCACAAGTGATAACAGATAAAGTAAAACCCCACAATGATTCATTTCCCCCCAGATCAACCACACTTGGAGTTCACTTCACACAGGACACGAAAAAGCCAACTAAACATTAAATGTAATTCACCATCAAATCACTTGAAAACTTAGAAGCACTTCCTGTGGACAATGGATGGACCAGACTCGTCATACTCGCCCTTGGAAAACATCTGATACAACAGGCAAAGCAAGAATGTCAGTCTTGGACAACCAAAGGAAAGCACGAGGCAAATATGAGCAAAAATATTCACCTGCTGGAAGGTGCTGAGAGATGCCAAGATAGATCCTCCAATCCAGACACTGTACTTCCTCTGGTGGTGCAACAACCTTGATCTTCATGCTGCTCGGAGCAAGGGCGGTGATCTCCTTGCTCATACGGTCTGCAATACCAGGGAACATAGTTGAACCACCACTAAGCACAATGTTACCATAGAGATCCTTCCTTATATCCACATCACACTTCATGATGGAGTTGTAGGTAGTTTCATGGATTCCAGCAGCTTCCATCCCAATGAGAGATGGCTGGAAGAGGACTTCTGGACAACGGAACCTCTCAGCTCCAATGGTAATGACTTGACCATCAGGCAACTCATAGTTCTTCTCAACAGAAGAGCTGCTCTTGGCAGTCTCCAATCCTTCTGCTCGTAGTCCAGGGCAATATAGCAAGCTTCTCCTTCATGTCACGGACAATTTCCCGTTCAGCAGTGGTGGTGAACATGTAACCTCTCTCGGTAAGAATCTTCATCAGAGCATCAGTAAGGTCACGGCCAGCAAGGTCTAGACGGAGGATGGCATGAGGAAGGGCATACCCTTCGTAGATTGGCACGGTGTGAGAACACCATCACCAGAATCCAGCACAATACCTGTTCCAATGTCTCAGCTTGATTATGAATGATCTATAAAGTTGTGTGAAAATAAGGTTCTATTTGAACAAACCTGTTGTACGACCACTGGCATACAACGAGAGAACAGCCTGGATAGCAACATACATGGCAGGTACATTGAAGGTCTCAAACATGATCTGAGTCATCTTTTCTCTATTGGCTTTGGGATTGAGAGGTGCCTCTGTGAGAAGCACAGGATGCTCCTCAGGAGCAACACGGAGCTCATTGTAGAATGTATGATGCCAGATCTTTTCCATATCATCCCAGTTGCTGACAATACCATGCTCAATGGGATATTTCAAAGTAAGAATACCCCTTTTGATTGTGCTTCATCTCCTACATAGGCATCCTTCTGTCCCATCCCAACCATGACCCCAGTGTGTCTGGGTCGACCAACTATACTGGGAAAAACTGCCCTGGGTGCATCATCACCAGCAAAACCAGCCTGCATGATTAACAAAATCGCATCAACCGCAATAAACCAGACAATAATGGAGACCATAAGTCGGGTCTACAAATCAACTCACCTTCACCATTCCAGTTCCATTGTCACAGACCAGGGGCTGAATATCCTCGGTATCGGCCATCTTTTGGAATACTACAAAAGAACCAAGTGAGTATATTAAAATCATTAGTCAACCGGTATTCTATGCCCTTCAAATAATCTAAACAAGTCAGATTAAAATCTTGGACAAATCAAGTTCTGTGTTCTCTTTTTAAAAAACAAAAGAGCCAGAAACACTAACGTCAGCATTAATCTCTTCAATACAGAAAAAACAACGCAGTTGCGCAATCAACTACAGTAAATTCAAATGGTATGCAACATTCATTTCAAGAGCATCGAAGCCAGCTGCTCTATGACTCGATTGACAACACATTGAATCAATTATAACAAAGATCAAGAGTAGAGCCTTTTCTTACTCTAAAAGAAACTTTGGAGAAACATTAAATTCACACAATGAGAGCAATAATCATTATTCAGAACAAATGGAAGATCAATTCCAAAATAGAGACAAATAAAAATTCTCACAAGATCTATAGAAGCAGATCAAGCAA